AAATTATATGCTCAACTTTCACCAGAATCAAGGTTTATATAAAATTTATTATTACCTACTTATTTTTTATATGTCATTTATACGAATAACAACTTTTCATTTAATGTATATACGTTCAATGTTACCAAATTCAGAAAGAGATGTTAAAAATGGAAATAATAATTGGATATTGGAAATGGAATAAATATTTTGTTTATGTACTACCAACATTTCAGTGTTTTACTCATACATTCAGTTAACTGTGGAATTTAGTTTGAAAAATCTCCCATTGTGAGTGCAATAAAATAAAAAAATGAAGGGCGTACTTGTCAAACGCAGAACGAATGTTCCTGGAGTATATTTTAATGGAAAACCAAATCAAAACAAAAAAGAATTATATGTTTATGTGAAAAAAATAAATAATTCATCGTTGAAAGAATTAGTATCATTTAAAACTTAAGATGATGTGTATACTCATCAAACGCAGTTAACTATATAATTAAAGCATGATGGATAATAAATGACGGTATGTGGAAATATTGATCCGGAATCGGTACATGAGATATGAGTTAGTTTCGAAGTTCTACCGAAAAACGAGACCACAATAATCCTTCACCATTAGGAGACACTCATAAACTGAATACTGTCAACTCTAACCTTGACCATCCTTTTCAATTAAGTTTTCACGTACGCTTCATCCCGAAGGAAAATAGATGTGTATCCATTTTTGTTCAGGACGAAACTAATTACAAAGTAGAATTTGAGACCATTCAAAAACGAAAAGTGTCAATCACATAAGTCCTCGTCAAACAGTTTCAAAAAATGTTCCTTTGCAAAATATTTGTGAACAAATATTCGTTCGGTAATTCTGCTTCGTAAAAACTCTCAAATTTTCGCAATTCTTACTGGAATTGTTAATCGCAAATTATCCTGCATTTTCGTATATGAATTTAATTTTTTCACGTATAATTATGCATGAATTATACTATATAGTAGAGTATTACTTATGTATACAGTAATAAATTGTGATAAACGCATGCCATGTCGGATCAAACTTTCAATTTGAAATGGAATTGTTTGAAAATCCCGAGCTATTCACAGTGAGTACTGAAAAATATGTGTCACACTGATATGGTTTCATTGATTTGAAAAAATGTTCGTACGATAGCTATGTTAGTTAATACATAAATCTAGCATGCTTTCATCAAAGTAAAATTAAACTTCTTTTGTCTGTAAAAGTTACTGGGATGGTCATGTGAAACAAGAAGGGGATGTTAAAAATTATTTATGCATTTCTCTTCGATATATACTTAAAAAGTCGAAAGTTATAATAATTAGCACAGTAAGATAAGACACTTTACATTTCATAGTTGTTTACTATTATCTGTTACTTCCTAGCATGTAAAAAATATTAAATACAGCAATAATAAGTACCTACAGTATATAAAAAGGTATATACTTATATACAACTAAAATAAACATATACCTACTCAATATAGGCATTTATTTGAAAATATATTATATACAAATTATTATGAATAAAAAGATTTCATAACTTTTCTAATGTTTTTGTAATACTGACAGCTGCGTAATATTGTTCTCATTCCTGATTATGATGAACCCGGTTTATTTAAAATTCATGAAACATAAAATTTTTACTTTCTAAGAAAGTGTAGTGGAACTGGAAACTCCGTGGCTTAATTAGAATGATAGACAATTCACTTTAAATAGGTTAGAATAGAAGAATGACCAAAGGCGGACAATGTTCAGAAAAATGTGGAAATAATGATAGGTAACTGACTAAAACTAGGACTCGATTGCTTCAAGCACTTTCAAAAATATACAAACGGAAGACTTTAATGATCAAGAATGAAAACTTGTTACTGGGTTTCCTTTGTACTCTGGTCGTGACGGTTTCATGTCGTCGCAATTCAAATTACGTTCATACTCGAATGGAAAGATGAAGTGTCCGATTACCATATTAACCTGCCGCTACTCTGTGGAGTAACATTCATTACAGGCCTCGCTAATTGCAGTTATATTTCATCGTGCCACAATATATGTACAATTTGTACGATTTAAAATCTGTCCAATTCTATTGCATGCATTACGTACAACGAGAAATTGAGAAATAGTACATATCCTTATAATGTACAACGGGAGTATAAATTTTTTAATTGATACCACTGCGTTGGTCGTTAGATTGCGACAATTTATGTAACACATCATACGTTATACTGCTGCCATAATTCTTTAGAATTCGTGAAATATAAAAATTATGTTTGGAAAAGAGTTTGAAATATCTGGAATTCATGCAGTATGAAAAATAATTTATGACTATCTATTATTATTACTTATTATACTTTCGCAATAAAAATATTTTTACCACGTTGTTTTATTATTATTTCAGCCATTTTTTTTTGTTATACGATATTATTGTGCAGAAGTTGTAGATTTTATAATGTGTAATTGACTTGAGACATAGATTTTATATCAACTGAAAGATAATATATTATTGTTAACATTTTACCTTGTTCAATATAACATATCCTCGACTTTGTTTTAAAGGTTATAGCTATAACAATTTTAAATGAATATGGATATTATGTAAATATTAATATTTCTATTAAATATAATAACTTCGAAAATTAAAGAAAATGGTTCTTTAAACTATTTTGGATATAGTCACTCTGATATTATATTTATATATTTCTCGATAACAGAATTTGAAATTACTCATAGTTGTACTTAAGAATTTTTATGTTTATGCTCCATATATTAAAAGTAGCGTATATTACAGTTTTAACATTGCATGAATTAGAAGATGTAATTTAATTAATGAAATCTGTGTTAAATATTCCTTTAAATTATCAATGCAGAGAAACACGAAACTCGTTCAATCTCAATGGTCCAATGAATACAAGTCGAAGAGTATTCATAATTAATTTCCAACTAATTTAACACTTTGACGGGCGATGTTACGTAAGCGTGACTTTTGTCAGCCAACAGTTATCTGTCAGTGCCTTATAAATGTAATTTCATTGCTCCCAAGCATGCCACGTCAAATTAAAATACTTATATTTCAGATTCTTCAAGAATATTTCTTAATAGTGAAATTAAGTATAATATAATAATTTGATTAGCGTTTAATCGTGAATAATAAATACATTTTCTTTTGTAGATACCGCAAAACAAGAATTTAAAAAATCAAAAAAGAAATCAGAAGATGGTGAATTTTTTAATAATATTGTATATGCGGCATCAAATTATTAACCTTTAACACTAGCATTACCGATCATTCAGTATGATTGATATGTAATCCCTATATAAATTTTAACAATAAATTATTTTCAGTTTCTTGGGATATTAGTCATAGGGTTCAAGTAAAACTATTTATTTTCGAAATTATTTCGAATATTCAATTCTTTAAAGTATCAATAATTCCGAAACAAGCAAACCAGGACCAATCATTCTGACTGATACGGCAGTTCCAGTATTAACCAGTTAACTGTGGAATTTAGTTTGAAAAATCTCTCATTGTGCGCGGAATAAAATAAAATAATAAAGTGTATTTCTCGTCAAACGCGGGACAAATGCATTTGTTACATATTTTAATAAACGCATATATTCTAAAAAATGAAAAAGAATTACACATTTATTTGAAAAAATAAATAATTTATCACACACAGTTAACTGGTCAACGAACCTATGCCGCAGAATACGCTGCATCTGACCTTTACCTATTAGATTCATTGTCGCTTATATTGCGGTAAAAAGTCATTTTATTATTTTCACAATTGTTATTGTCATTATATTGCCAATTTAACACATTCAGTACTACATCGGTCCTTTGCGGTAAATCGTTTTTAATACAGTGAGTTACAAGAGTATTCGTACCTCCTGATCAGCCGAATTTAAACGATTGATATATCGTTTATAATGCAAGTTTCAAAGTTCTTGCAAACAGGAATATATATATTAGAATTACGAAACTTACATAAACTTTATTGCAAAACAATATGTCAACATAACAAAAATGTAGTTTTATGTAAACGAGAACAAAATGGATCTCACAAGAGTTTTCGTACCTACACAAGTTATACTAAAAATATAATTAATGAATTAATAAGTAACATTTAATTAGGCCTCCTTTACACTTTATAATACTTTTTAAACGATCTATATCGTCAGGCTTGCGCGACTAATTTTGTTCTTGTTTACGTAAAATTATATTTTCGTTACATTGACATGTTGTTTTGCAGTAAAGTAAATATACGTTTAAAAGCTTCGTAATTCCAACATACACTCATATTAATAAAAACAAATATGAATCAGTAGCTTTAATGCTTTCACAGCCTGGAATGATATATTCAAAAGTGGCTTTCGGGTGGGAACAGTGTACAGTAGGAAAGTGTTCCCAACGTTTCGCCATCATTGCAGCTGGCTTCATCAGGGGTTAAAGACACACTGATACTGGTCTGTGTCTAGGAAGACTGTCTTCATATACATACCTAGTTCATGTTCCTCATCAGTGATCACCAGTAGTTTTTAATTGTTCAGCTGACCAATTGAACTGTGCCTTCTGAAGCCATTTTTGAATATAAATATCAATCATATTAAAAATAGGATTGGCAGTGGCCGTCATCTATGGATTCGATTGGATAAAAATATAATCAATTAAAAAGAAAATCGGATCTCAATCTCCATGATAATATTTATAAAGCAAGTGAATGTAGTTTCTGATTACGTTTTGACCAATTATATCGAACAGACATTGTGTTTACTAATTGTCTTAGTTAAATAAAAACTGATTCATTATTCCATTATAAAACCAACAAATTGTTTAAATTCGGCAGTTCGTGAGGTACAAATACTCTTGTAACTCACTGAATTGTCTGTAGTATAGACTCTATACCTACTCGATATAAAACGACAAATAAATTCAAAATACTTCTTAAGAGTTAATACTGGCCATAGTATTTAATCACGAAGCGGAGTACATAAAAGGAATATATTCTTACCTAGAATATCTAAACATCCGAGCTGGGATATCATCGGGCTGGTGTTAATCTGGCACATGTAACAATCCCTATCCGTCTCCTTCAGTTGACGAATATGAAGCCGCCACGTGCCGTTGACGACTTCCTCCGTGGCTTGGCTACTTCCTGTCACCCCAAAGGCGTTACCGGATACTGCGCCGGACCCGGAACTTCCGCCGGTCTCGTACGAGACCGTGATACGTGCATTATGCGTTACCGTCCTCGTGTTGACCGAGAGAATCGTCTGGTCCGAGGCACGTAGCCAGCCAACCTGGAAAATCCATTGTCATTTTCCTAGCCTTGCTTTGCCAACGACCAACTCGTTACCGCAACAGATATTTCCATGTCGTTGCTTGGATAACCTTAATGATTCTCTAGTGTGCCCGCGTACTGCTTTAATTGGGAATACTTTCCTTTACGTTCGATATATATATATATATATATCTGGCAACACTGTCGGGATTTTCAGATTTCTTCCTGGGCTTACGGTTTTTCGATAAACATTTTGGGAAATTAAATTAAAATTTTATTTTTTCATTATATGTTGTTGATTTTGCTAAATAAATTTGAGTAGTTCTCAATGAGGATGCATTTATATACAAGGTGGATCACCTGAGACATTATCCTATGGAGATAAAAACAAATGTTTAAAATCAAACTTATTGGAGGGACATTATCTAGTGAACAGACATTTGTTCGTGGGCGGATTAAACTTAAACGTTACTTTCATTTTTTTAAATAAAACTTTAATAAACATGGCCATTCAGGGGCACTCAATGTTGCAGATACAAGAGAGAGTGGAAGATGAAAATTCATTGTAAATATTTTTTATATAAACAAACCTTTCAGATATTGTCTGTATCTATGATCAATTGTAATTTTAAAAGTATATTGCAGCGGATTATTTCGATTGTAAATTTCTTGGCGAAATTTACTTATATTTTAAATTGATTTCGTTTTATTTCGTTAATGAAGTGGAGAATATTTTGTTTGCATATTGACAATAAATTTGTATTTTTCATCCTGTTTTATATCATTGGCTTAAAATGACATGGAACCACTATAATTATCAAAATAGCCTTAGGAAAGTTTGGTATTTACTTAAAAAATTGAAAATAACCTGAATTTTCTTCAGTATGGTCACATAAGAAAGAGTTTCGTCCGCCATGTAATTTCCCGCAGATTCAAACAATTTTAGTTCCAAGTACTTCTTTCGAACTCTAAAATTATAAAACTGTTCAGGTGACTTTTCGGGTCATTCACACTGTACGATAATTATAAACTTTGGAAATATCTTTTCTCACGGTAACAATTGGAACAAAAATTAAAACGCTTGCTTATAAGAATGTACAAGTTTAAAATTTTTCACATCAGAAATTATTGTCTTTCAATATGTGAGTAAAACTGGAATTATAATCTTTAATTAAGTTTGTTTCTTGAGTTTCGTTTATACTAATATATGCTATTGTGTGATATTATACACCATTAAGAATATTAATTACAAGAAAAGGTATCAAACCCGAAAATTAAAAAATTATGAAACTTTGTAAATAGAGTAAGTCAAGCCTAATAATACATTGGAAATTTTTTCGTGCCGAATTCCACTTTCGAGAAGTGAAACCACCCCTTGAAAACAATGAAAATTTTTCATTTCCGTGGATTTTTTTGGAAACAGTAAGAGGTAGCGAAAAAGAGTTTAAACAAAAAATACATTATTCTTCCACATTTATAAAATTGCAAAATAATATTTTCAAAATTCAACATTTTGAAAAGTTTGAACTATTTGAAAAATTTCATTTTTCAATTTTATAAACGTGGAAGAATAATGTATTTTTTGTTTAAACTCTTTTTCGCTACCTCTTACTGCTTCCAAAAAAATCCACGGGAATGATAAATTTTCATTGTTTTCAAGGGGTGGTTTTACTTCTCGAAAGTGGAATTCGGTAGGAAAAGAATGCAAAGTAGTAGGCTTGACTTACTCTACTTACGTATAAAATTTCATAATCTTTTGAATTTTCAGGTTCGATGGCTTTCCTTGTAAAAAGGGAACATATCGAAGGGATAACCATGGCATTGCATTTAAATACAGGATGTTTCTGATAAGAAAATAAATACACATTAAAAACACATCAAAAGTAGTATAAACTTTTTTTATGGGAGACTTCATTCTGAAGATAATCAGATTTGAATATGTACTTATTTCTACAAACTGAAAAGTAGAAAAATGTAATAAGTTTTATAATGAAAAATTGATCGAATGTTTTAGTTCTAGGATATGAAAATAATAAAAAAATTGAGTTAGTCATTTTGAGTACTGTATGATTTATTTACAAGAAGTGAAAGTTTTAAGTTATGTATAGATATTAGCCGATTCCTACTCAAGTAGCATGCACGCTTGACGAATCTTGAAATTTAATTATTTCGAAAACAGAAGGTCATATGAAGAAATGTTATTCTATATTTTTGCTTGGTACTTTACATAGACGAACTATCCTTTCGGTTGTACCACAATTTCAAGAAGACCTTGTTTAATTTTATCATCGAAACGATATCATTGGATTCCTCTCTTTAACTGTTATAATTCATGAACGATTTTTTATTATAATAATGTGGACTCATATAAAAAAATTAGAATGCTCGGTGTCAGTGATAATATGTATCGGACTTATTAAATATTTCAATTTGAAGTTTCTAAAATAAAAACAGCTTTCTCTAGAATTAATATCCTTGTATAAAGGAAGCATCACGAGCCCATTTTGTTAAATATCTTTCATGAAGATCTTCTTCGGTTATTGATTCATTTAGGTAAATAGATATAGATAAAGTTTATAGCTGTAGCCTTCATTTTGTGCTTTTGAGTATTAGTTAACAAATCACACCAAAGTCTGTAAATGCATATAATTAAATAATTTATTCATCAGTGCCACTGTATGCAAAATACTATAAATTTTCATATATCACAATATTTTGGTATTGTAAATGTCAAAATCTAAAAATTTCAATTTTGGTGTCTGTGTATTAAAACGAAAAAAATAGAAAGATGAACAAAATTATTATTTTTAATATTGTGTTTTAACAAATGGATTTTTTGTTGCAAATCTATTTACATAATGAAATTCAATGTATACAATCTCTAATAGCTTTTGTGACAATCGTTACAGTATGATTCATATTTTCGTCTTTTGAACTTATTTTGCAACTGGAAAAAAATGTATGTCTAACATTTTGTTTAAAGGTACTTAATTTCTTTCTTGATTATGTGGCTCCTGTAAAAACAAGATTTTATGTATCAAGACGTTCTAACCGTTAGAAATATTCCTTTTGTTTATTTTTGAATTAATCTACATCTTCAACATCCGTCATATTTTTCGGATTTACCATTTTATAATAAACTAATCATTTAAACACGAAACATTCTCAATTGAAGCATATTTTAATTCAAAACGTTTCTCTTCTCTAACCTGGGAATGAACATAAAGGAAAGGTATTGATTATATATTTTAAAAGCTTTAATCACTGACATTTCCGATGTTGTGAAAAAAGGGAATTGAAACTCTGTAGTTTAACATGTGAATGTTTGGTATCAAGTATTGATTTAGACTAAAACTTTCCTTCATTTTCATTATTGAAACTAAAAACCATCCCAGTAAGAAAAATGGGATCTACTTTTCATTCAAACCCATATTTTGAATGGATATGGCGTCTCATTTAAATTGCGCATTTAAATTATTATTACTTATAAAAGCAGGAAAAAGTGATAAAGAGGAGTTTTAGGATAGAAGATGATGAAAGTATTTTTCTATGTTCATATTCATTTTATAGTTACGTTCAGATAAGGAATTAAAAATATTTAGTATTGCGTGGTGAATTATAAAAATACTTTCAGGAATCTTATTCAATTGCTTGCATATACTCTACAAAGAAATATCGATGCAAACAGCTAGAATTTTGCACGTTTAACGAAATTAACTGATTCATTAGTTTCACTATAAAAATGATGTTAGACTTAATATACATATTGTTTCGGCACGGTTTATTTGGTTGAGACACAGCCGTCGGTACGTAAAGATTTATAGTATGACCAATTGTGCTCGGTCATGTCAAAATACTATCTAAGTAAATTTTGGAAGCGTTTTATTACTAGCTACATTTTTACATCCGATGTCATAAATGATCAGCAGCTAATATATCATAAAGAAACGGCAGCTTAACCACTTAAACCCCGAGCGCACAGCCACGGGTACCCTTGCAGGTCGAAAGGGACGACGTACCCCCTACCTCCACTACAAGTAATAAGGGCGTAGGCTAAAAAACTGTAATCAGCAACACCCCGATCGTTTAGCCTTCTGATTTGTCACTAAGGTCACCGCTCTACAACACTATTTTTATATATATATAGCGCGAGACAGACATTCAGAGAGACATTGAGAGACATGGAGACAGACATATAGACAACACAAGATCACTAATCACGCTGTACTCACTAGACAACACACATACTTCAACTTTGTATACACATACACACTCCTTTCACTCATTATTCAACAAATACAGTCCACTTTCGAAAGAGAAAAGGAGAAGCCTTTTTTCATCATCACAACTATTTCACACAAGATTAATTCGGCGTGTGAAAGTGTTACGCCACGTCCACTAATATTGCCTGGACAGCGTGCACGAACACATATATTCAAAATAACGTTGCAAGAACTTTTTTTATTTGATATTATTTGATGTTATTATTAACAGTGTGCATCATTGAAATGTTCAGCTGAAGTGAGCTCCAACTTTTATAAAAGTAACGAAAATCGCTATTTGTCTCTAAAGTTGAAAATACGGAAAATGTCTGTGTGTCGCGGAAAAGTAATTTTGAATAAATATTCATTTTCGAATGTCCAATACTAACAAATTTTCACAGATATTAGTGTATGATTGCATCCAGTTTTCTTGAATATTATATAACTATTTCATTAATTTGTAGTACATATTTCATTGCTCTAGAAACATTAATGCACCTACTGAAACAGGGACATCAAGATTGCAAGGATATACGAGAACGATATTTTCACTAAAGTCAACTTATCTCGCAGTTAATGTAATTTATCATAGTGCTTCCAAGGATGTTGGTACAGTCATATAGCGGAAGGCAGTGAAATTAGTTACAGTGTAAACTAAACTAGAACATGTTGAGGGAATGACGTTGAAACTCACACCACACTCAATGAAGATCTTAACAAGAGCATCGCTGGCAGAAAATGTACCCTTGAGGTTAAG